AGACACACAGGTGCCCCGTGAGGCCAGGTGCCAGGTGTGCCCCCAGACACACAGGTGCTGCCGAAAGGAGCTGGTGGCAGCAGTCGGGGCCACCGAGCCAGGGGATGGAAGCTGAGTTCCCTGTGCTCCTTCCAGGGAATAGAGACGCCCTCTCATGTGGCCTAATTAATTCCAGATTGTTAAGTTATGTAAGAAGTGAAAGTCAGGAAAATAGATTATTTCCTCCAAGTCATAAATAGGGTTAGTATCAGTCAACATTTAAAACGATTTTGTCTGGCGGGGCTCAAGCCTGTAATCCCAGCACTTTGGGAGACCGGGGCAGGCAGATCACTTGAGGTCAGGAGTTGGAGAAACGCCTGGCCAACATGGTGAAACCCCGTCTCTACTAAAACTACAAACATTAGCCATGGGTGGTGGCGGGTGCCTGTAGTCCCAGCTACTTAGGAGGCTGAGGCACAAGAATCACTTGAACCCGGGAGGTGGAGGCTGCGGTGAGCTGAGATTGTGCCATTGCACTCATGCCTGGTGACAGAGCGAGACTTCGTCTCAAAATAAAAAAAGATTTTGTCCATTAAGCTGAAATCACCTATGTTTTATTATAAAATACATTTGACACTTATAATAAACCCAGTAAGTAGCACATACAATTTGCCCTGGGTTCCTATTTTCTGAGTGGTCTGTGTTTGGTGGGGGTGGAGGCACTGGGAGGTGTGGCCATGTGGCTTCACGAAGCTCAGCTGCGGTTCTCTGTGGCCACAGTGACTCTGCTCCAGGTACCCAGTACCCAACTCCTTGGCCTCCCAGGGGCCATCCCAGGGGTCTCAGAAGGCAGGCCTCAGTTAGCTTTGACTTCTTGGTGTGGCTGAAACTCAACCTGCACAGGAGAGCTGCCATTGCTGCCACAGGGCCTGCCCAGGTGTGAGCACACAAGCTCACCGGGGCCCACCTTCTGCCCTGGGGGGCAGCTCTGGCGGCTGCGCCCATGTTCAAGAGTGACAGGCATCACCTCCTTGTGCCCCAAAGGTTCCTCTACGTCCAGTCAGGCCACCATCCCTTCTGATCCGGATAACCGGCAAATACTCTAATTCTGTTAGGCTAAAAAACCTCACTCTGGTCAGCTTGGCTCTCGCAAGTCTAAGGGCTCAGGACGTCTGTCCGCCCCTGCCTTTCCTCCTGTGCAGCTGAAAAGTGCCCCCCATGTGGCTGGAGCCCCCTTGCCCGACCAGGCCTGATGCCCACCCTCTCCTGAGCCACCCTCTGGAGGAGGCGGCCGCTGGAAAGTGGAATGCAGTTTCACGTGCATCCAACGGCCTCCATCCAACAGGACAGGCAGGAGAACGGCGGATGGCCTGGGCGCGTGGCAGGGGCTGCTTCCCTCATTTTAAATGCGCCTGCAGGGTCGTTACAGCAAATAAAATTCAGGAGAGAAGTGGCCGGCCACAGTCTGGGCTCCAGGGCGCCTGTCGCCTGAGACTCACACCTGAGGTCTGTCCCTACAGGTGGTCCCACTTCGACAGAAAGTTCCTCAGCAGGGTCCTCATGAGACGGTCGGCCCAGAAGTCTCGAGACCGGATCCTGAATGTCTTCCACGAGCTGAACCTGAAGGACGCCATCAGCTACGTGGCTGAGGTAGCCGAGCCGCTTGCTCCCTCTGTCGGGTCGGGGTGCAGCAGGCTCGGGCACTGGCTATGGGCGCCACGGGGGCAATGAGGAGAGGCCCCTGCACCCGCGTCCTAAGGCCAGGCCCACCCCAGAAGTTCACAGGAGGCTGATGGGCCTTTGATGCCCTGGGAATCCCAGCTGGCTGTCACGTGGGGTAAACTGAGTCACAGAGTCCTGGTGACTGCGGTGCTGGTGGGGATGAGCGCTGAGGTTAGGTCCTAGGACCCTGAGCTCCCTTGCTTTCCCTGGAGATGGGAGTGGACGGTAAGCAGGCAGGCTGTTATGGGACCTGGTCCTAACACAGTTGGGCCTGCCCCAGCACACACAGGTGCCCACAGACCCACATGCACAGGCGGAGGGGCAGCAGCAGGGCTGTCTCCCGCCATGGCCGGCCGTGGCTCTGAGGCTGCCCCAGCATCTCCCAGTCCACTCTGAGCAGGCCTTGGTGTCCGCAGAGCCCGTCTGCTCCAGAGACCAGAGGCCAGGCGCCCCACCCAGACCCGGGGCCACTGCCGCCACTGGCTCCTGCACCTGCCTACCATGGCAGGTGGGCCTCAGCCTCCCCAGCCTGTCCTGACCTCCCCAGGGGCGCTCTGGCTGCAGGAATTGCGCAACGCAGGGCCTGGGGCACAGCTGCAGGGACTCTGCTCCCTCTGGGCCCTGCGGCTCCTCCCTAAGGACAGAGTCCTGCCTAGTGAGCTCGTCCAGCAGCTGGTCGGGGTAGGTGCTCTCGTGAGAGGGAAAGGCCTGTCCTGCCAAACCCTGCAGACCCTCACACAGAGGGCTGGCGGGGGCCGGGAAACTGCCAAACCCTGCAGACCCTCACACAGAGGGCTGGCGGGGGCCGGGAAACGCCATTCGTTCAGATAGAATGATTCTGCCTCTACTGACGTGCATTCACCCCAGATGTGCCACCCATGACTGGGGCGTGGCAAGACGCCTCCTGGCAGAGGGCATGGGGGCCTGGGGCTGTCAGGAGGGCTAGCCAGTGCAGATCAGGAAGGAGGGCCCCTGGACCAGGCTCCACACAAACCCCCAAACCACAGGCCCGGGAAGCGAGAGACAGTTCAGATACCCTGGTCAGTAGGCGGGCCTTGAACCTCTCCCCCAACCCCACCAGCCACCATCCTTGACCCATGACCCATGACCCATGACCACGACCCTGGGCTCAGCTGCATGTGGGGAGCCCGTGGGTGCCTCCTGGTCACTCAGTAGCCTGAGTCTCCACACCTGGGGTGGCGTCCGCCTGCCCGATGTCCCTCCTGGCTCTCACACAGGGCAGCTGCTCTCTCTCCCTGCGCCCCCCACCCCACAGTGTGGGGCTCGGCAGGGGCAGGGGAAGTGGTGTGGGGAACAGCCCCTCCAAAGACCCCATGTGCCCAGGTGCTCCAGCCCTCGCCTGTGCCTGCCCAGAGTGGCAGCTGGCACTGTGGCTCCCCCGACCCTCACGGCTGTCTTCGCGGGGTGGCAGGAGAGGGACAGAGGGACAAAGGTCATACAGAAGACGCTGGATTTGGAAGCAAAAGAGCAGGCAGAGGGCCCTTAGAACAATGACCCTCAGAGCCCCCCAGAGTGGGCAGTGAAGTGGGGGCCACATGTTCAGTGGGAGCAGCGGCCCCTGCCCGACCCCGGGGGCTCTCCTGGGAGCGTCTTGCCGCTGCAAGGCGGCACGGGTGCCCACCTGGCAAGGTCTGAGCGCAGTGAGCTGACGTTCCCTCCACACCTGTGCCCCCACTGGCCCTGGAGACCCTGACTCCAGCCACAAGCCCACCCTGCCCTGCACTCCTCCACAGCCTCACACTCTCCAGGCCCTGCCATCAGGCGGGTGGGGTCTGAGGACACACAGGCAGCCCCACTCCCATCCTCTGGCACTCAGCTGTGCGGCTTCTGTGCCCCATCTGGCTCTGCTCCGTTCCCTCGACCTGATTCATTTCTGGACATGAGGCCAATGGGGTTTTAGGGCCTCTGGCAGGGACAGGGGCCACTTCTGATTCCGCATATCGACAGTTTCCCCAGACACCCCCCAAGTCCTAGGCAGCTTTACCCCTTCACACTCAGACCACTGGGTCCTCCCACAAGCATTACCTCTGCCCAGTTCAGGCAGCAGTCTGGCTGTGGCCTCAGACAGATGGACAGAGGCTCAAAATCTGATCTCGTGGTTTTGGCATCTCCTCCCCTCTGCAGCTGTGAGGGGAGAACCTGGGGCTCAGGTCTCAAGGCCTTCCCTGGGCCCCGAGCTCTGGGCACTTCCCCGCTTCCCCCCAGGGCACACAACAGCAGCAGCTGCCGCAGGTCCGGGACCTAGGGCTTGGCTGCTCAGGCCACTGACCGGGCTGCTTCCTGACCATAGGGAGAGCGCCGTGGGTCCCTGGCCTTCATCCGCTCCCCCAGCACCGACAACATGGTCAACGTGGACTTCACGCCACGATCATCCACCGTGGAGGCCTCTGTCTCGTACCTCCTGTACGTGGCCACGGTCATGCAGCTTCCCTGGGGAAGAACCCAGCTGAGAGTCACAGACGGGGCTGGGGTGGCTCCTGGCCTGGGGGTGGCATGGGGGAGTGGAGGGGTGCAGAAAGAGGGGCTGGGTGTCCCCTCCAGCAAGCGCTCCCCTGTGTTATGCGGTGGCCAGACTCCCTTAGTGCTGGATGCAAGGTGAAAGGGAGGGGCAGCAGCGGATTGGGGTCCGGGCCTGACGTGTTTGCCCCCGGCCAGGAGCAGCCTGTCCTGGTCCCCATGCCACCCCTACTGCCCCTCCAGCCATGGGCTCCACAGCTCACGGCCAGTTCTCATGGGAGGTCCACTCTGCCAGGTGTGCAGATGCCAAGGTCCCCAAGTCTCACAGCCAGGGCTCTGGAGGGGGACCAGTGAGGAGGGGGATCCACCTCAGAAAGGAGGCCGGGAAGGCCTCGTGGGGAGTCAGTCTAAGCTCCGAGGGGAGAAGGGGCTGGCCAGGTGGCCAGGTGTCCCCGTGCCCCGGCCGGATGCCCGCCTTGGGAAGGAGAGGGGTGCACAGGAGACCCCACCCTGAGGGAGCCTGTGTGGCTCAGCGCTGGTCCCCGTGCAGGAGAGAGAATGTCAGCGCCGTCTGCCTGGACATGCAGTCTCTGGAGCAGCGGCGGCGGAGCATCCGGGACGCAGAGGACATGGTCACGCACCACACGCTGCAGCAGTACCTGTACAAGCCGCGGCAGGAGGTGGGCCCCGCAGGCTGGGGGCTGGACGCGCCCGCAGGGACCCCTGTAGGGTGGCCTCCTCGTCCCCTCCCAGGACCATGGGGGATCCGTGCTCAGCCCCTGCGGCAGGAGGGCGGGAGTGTCTGGTGCTGGGCACAGCTGTGACCTCCGTGCCCAACCCTGCAGTACAAGCATCTGTACAGCCGGCACGAGCTCACGCCCACGGAGGACGAGAAGCAGGACCGGGAAATCTTCCACAGGACCATGCGGAAGCGCCTGGAGTCCTTCAAGTCGACCAAGCTGGGGCTCAACCAGAACAAGAAGGCAGCCAAGATGTACAAGCGGGAGCGTGCCCAGAAGCGGGTGAGGCCGGGTCACCAGGAGGCTCGACGGGGCTGGGGCCTGGAGCGGGGGCAGTCCGGGCCGGGTGTGGCTGTGTTGAGGTCTGTGAGCAGCTTCACGTTTGCCCCACAGAGAAACAGCAGCATCCCCAATGGGAAGCTGCCCATGGAGAACCCTGTGCAGAATTTCACCATCAAAGAGAAAGGTGCGCTGGGGGCCCTGCGGGAAATGCTGGGAGCCGCCACCTCCCAGCCCCAGCCCTCCCCTATCGGGGCCCTCCCCTCTCAGGACCCTCCAGCCACCCAGGCAGGGAGGCACGGTCAGGGCCCCAGCTGCAGACCCACCCAGGATGGGGTTCCAGGGGTGCTGCCCTTTAAGTGGGGTCCCTCCTTGCCCACCCCCAGCCCTGCGGTTTAGCCCTTCTCTCTGTGGGTCCCGACCCCCTGCACCTCTGGGCACAGAGCTGATGGACACGGCTGACCGGCTGTGAGGACAGCCCCCTAGTGACCCCAGTCCTCATCCCAGCCTGTCTCCTCCAGACTTGGAACTTTCAGACACCGAGGAGCACCCCAACTATGAGGAGGAGATGAGCGGGGGAATCGAGTTCCTGGCCAGTGTCACCAAGGACACAGCATCCGACTCCCCTGCAGGTGGGGACAGGGCACAGGCGTCGTGGCCGAGGGAGGGGGCAGCAGGAGCTGCCCCAGGAGGGAGCTGAGTCATTGGACCAGGGGCACTGGGACCTGGTGGGGGGGGGCGTCTCCTGTGGATTCTCAAGGGCCCTGCCTGGCACCTCTAGTGCCTCCTCAACCAACTCGGAGGCTGCTGTCCCAGGAGACGTGGGCCGGGCAGGGAGCAGACGGGGTGTGTCTTGAGGGAAGGGAGACCTCACCTGTGCTGCCTGTAGTGTGTGGGGTCATGGATGTGGGGCAAGGGCCTGCAACCTGAAAGGCACGTGACCCTAACCTTCCCGGTGATCCTATTCCAGGTGACCTTAACCTTCCAGGGCACGCAGCAGGTGACGGCCCCCGCGAGGCCTCCCCTGCCGCCGCAGGGCTCCCAGGAGGCTGACCGGCCGCTGCCCTCTCTCCTAGGAATTGACAACCCTGTGTTTTCTCCGGATGAGGCCCTGGACCGCAGCCTCCTGGCCAGGCTGCCGCCCTGGCTGTCTCCCGGGGAGACGGTGGTCCCCTCGCAGAGGGCCCGCACGCAGATTCCCCACTCCCCCAGCACCTTCCGCCGCCTGACGCCCTTCCGCCTCAGCAGCAAGTCGGTGGACTCCTTCCTGCAGGCAGACGGCCCCGAGGAGCGGCCCCCCGCCGCCCTCCCCGAGTCCACACACATGTAACGCTCCCGGGCCTCCTGCCACCTAACCCCTCTCTCCGCAGCTCCTCTCCCTCCAGGTCTCCGCCTCGCGCTCTCTCTCTCCTCCTCCCTGGACCTGAACCTGGCTCTCTCTCTCTCCAGCAGCCCCTCTTCCTCCTCTAGCGCCCCGCTGGCCGCACCTCCCTCAGGAACCCGGACAGACCCTGGCGTCTCTGCTGCTCCCACGGAGCTGAGACCCCCAGGGCCGCCTGTGATTTCCTTTAGGTGGCTCCGAAAGCTAGTCCGCGAGTCCAACTCCTGCGCTCCCACGGAGCTGAGAGCAGGGCTAGGCGGAGCCAGACGCCCCGGGTCCCCTATCCTCCCACAGGGATACAGGGAGGGCCGGCCCCGCAGACCCGGGCTCTGCCTCCAGCTCAGAGCGCGCCACAGGGTCTGGACTTTGTGAGCTCCCTCTGGGGGCCTGGGAGGCACCCGGGGAACGCCAGGGCGGTTTGAGATGGAGGAAGCAGGTTTCCCCCTTGGGGACCTTGACCTCCCGCGCTGCAGGGTCAGGGGCGGGACCTTCCTGCACGGAGAAGGCCGCTGTCCCGGGACCCCCGGCGGTGGGACGTGGCTGGGCCAGGGTGGGGCTTCGCTGTTGCTGCTTCCGCCTCTGTCCTGCGAACCGGGTCCTGGGAGGA